ATGAAATATCCTTTTTTTCGACACCCAGGTCTGTTCGTTAACTTGTGCTTTCCTCACTCCCAGCTAAAAATTAAAATGATAAAAAATACAATTCCCTGTTGCTTTGGGATACAAGATGAATGAAGAGAGAAGAGCAACCAAAACAGAGCTGATCAGTCTGTTTTTCCTGAGTTGAGGGAGTTACTCATGTGCACTTTTCACGGCTGAGACTGAATCTCAATGCTGGGAAAAAGATTTTTTTATGACGAGGGAATTCGAAGCTTAACATTGTATGTGTCCTTTGTTCAGATGCAAGGAGCTGAAGGTGGAAGAAACAGCACTGTAAAGAGTGATTCAACAAGTATGGCATAACAGCATGCAGTGTGCAGTATATGCTTACCTACCCAGAGAGAATAAGAGGGGGGCCTTGTTTCTAACATCAGTGTGATCCAGTATTCCTACTTCATAACTGTGACTTAAAAAAAAAAATGTTTTCAGTTTTCTCCTTTTGGACAAAAAGTCTTCCTGCATAAGTCAATTTCTTTCCCATTACAGACCCTGAGAACACTGGCCTTCTTTCAAGTCTGACAGAGGAACGGTGCTTCGAAGACATTTGGTGAGAAAACGAGCATATGAGGCAGTCTTCTACTACAATGATTAACGCTATGGCACAAAGTTATGTTCAGCCACTGCAGGCAAGTGGACACAAAGCCCCACTGGACCCGGGAAAACATTTGAGACTGAATTTGCTCAGTCTGCTAGCTTCTTATTGTGTTGCATGATCTACTTAAACCCTCACTCACTGTTTGTTTGCTAAGGAAGCGCATTGGGGAAAAAAGTTGAAGGATCTTATCTCCTAATTATGAGATAAATCATTGGGTTTTAACAAATTGTTTAGTTACACAGTAATTCAGTGATAGCTGTCAGTGCATCCAATAGCGTGCAGTAAAAGTGAACAATTAATAGTCGAGTCAGCATACTTAGTGTTCCACAATGTAAACAAATAGGCCTTATAGCCTAGGCTAAAAACAGTGCCCACATTGTAACACACTGTACCCACAGTAACATCATAGCTTACTTCCTGTTTCTTGTCGAAGTTTATATTTGTTCACATGATGACTATTAGCGTTTAACGCTTTGTCATATTTACGAGATCCAGAGATCAGGATCTTGTAATAGGTTGTTATTGTTGCCGTTTAAGAAGACAGAGGCCTTACTACCGGATTTAAATGTCTATAGACTATTGGGCTATATAACAAATACGAGCTTAAATAGTTTCAAAAAACCTTTTTGCATAGTATTTTGCAAAATGTCACAAGTGGCAAAAGTTCAATCATATGCACAGATCCCATAGATATGAGTGACTGTGTTGCAGCTTGGGCACCCTTTTAGCCTATAATTGTTGGAATTGTTACATTTTGGAATATTAAGTACACCCAATGAACTATTATCAGTTCATTTCTACTATGTGCTGTTGTATGTACTGAGACAATTATGCTAATACTGAAGAAATCTTAAAAACCCAGTGTTACTCAAGCAGGCTCTGAAGCTTTCCAGCTCCTGTACATGTAGCCTAGTGAGTTACACTGTAGGCAGTAACTCTGAGGCTGATTTGTAGTCTATATTTGTTTACGTTTTGGAATACTAGCTATGTCGAATTAGCTAGCAGAATTCATTAAAACAGGATGGTTTTCAAGCAAGTTCTGCAGCCCCTTCCACCCCCTGCTTTCTCATAATTATGAAATCAGGATCTTGTAATTTTGTGATGACATAATTAAGAAATAAGATCCTTTTTTGTGAATACAATGTGCTTCCATAGTTTGCTTTTCACTGCGGTGAAACAAAAAGAGTGCAAGAGTGGGAAAGAAACCAACTTAAAGTGACTTCTCAGGAATACTTCCAGTTATATTACACACTTAAAAAATTCATCATTGGTGAGATGATACAAATGTAACACCACCGAACATAGTGAGGAAGGGGTGGGAGTACAGTCGACAGATTTTCAATTTGATATATCAGCACACTGTGTAGACAAACCCCATTGAAGATATTTGTAAGATAATAGAAATCAAATAAATATTCCACCTTTGCTTTCAGCACTTACTCATTTATTTCCAACTAAAACGCTGGATTTAACTGTTATAGAAACAGCAGTAGTAGTGGGTATATTAGTAGTAGCAGAAGATGCAGAAGCAGTAGTATACTAATGGGAGGGGCTGTATTGCAGGCAAAGAAAACAGAGCTCCCCACAAAGCAGCCTCGGTCCCTGCTATCGGGAAAGTCATGAGCTGACTAGATCTGATCAAAGGGGGCGTTATCGATCGGTCAGCTAAAGAAAAACTCAGTCCTTAAACAATGAGATTCTTCAAGTTACAACAAAAAGAAGGTGGGGGAAAAAGGACATTCCACTCACCAGGACAAAGTTTGTGATCAACACAGTTTTCACAGATTTGAATCAGACTCCATTTGATCGTGATCCCTTGGCAACAGCTCTGTCCGAAGTCATCCCACAACTCTAAGTTGCTAGTCAGATTCAAGACTCGTGCCTGGGCTCAAACAGATTGTAAACCAGCGGTAGAAGCACCACATGTTGACTGGGATGGAAGGGAGATTTTGTTTTTTCCCTGAAACCTGCTCTGAGACAGAAAGGTTGAGAGTTGATATTGTCAGGCACCTCTGCAGGACACAAATCAAAGATAAA